AATGGTGACACCAAAGAAAAGATTATCCGTTTCCACCGCAAAGGTGAAAGGTTAAAGCAAACTCAGAAGTATGCTAAGAGATGTCAATTGGAGTGGCGCAACGTTTGGAACGTATATGAAGCCTGCACAGTTGTCCAACCGTGTGGAAGACCAGATGCAACAAACGCCCTACGGTTGCCCCATCAAAGTACTCGAGTCGGTTGCCTTCAGGGATCTATTCTCCAGGAAAGGTATGAGTTTCTTATTTAACCTTTGCGTTAATGTTAGCCCTGTCAGGCAAATTGATGTTACCATGCCAACCACAAATAACAAACACTTCTTTGTGACCACTTCAACTGTGCACCGTTTCAGCATTTGTATATTGTAGTTCTTTTTTTTCTTCTCTCGTTTTGCGTTACGTTTTAATCAGTGTATGCAATTTATTAACTTACAACTAACTGCAAGATAGCGGTTAATAATAAATTAATGCGGTCATTGCGATACGGGTAAAGACTTGCTAGTAGCTTGGGTTCTCCTTTCAAGTAATATCTGCTGGCGAAAAGTGCGCATTATGATGCATTTAAGGTGGCTGAACACAACCTCTATAGGTTGTAAGGGGCTACCATTCATTGGATGACTCTTTGTAGCTATAAAGATGCAAAGTTGGCATGCACAGAATATATTCAGTTTGTGTGAAATAACGTGAATTCGTTATAAATGTTTAAGATTTCGATAGTTTATCAGAAAACTGTGTTCAGTCACCTTAAGGGCAATAACCTTCAAGGCTTCCTAGTACGTACACTTGGTTTACCAATTAACACCAAAAATAAAAGTCAACCGCGAAGTTAATAAGGCTTGTTTGGTAAGCTTCAAACGTCAGTTGATAATGGGGAAGGGATTAGAGGTGAGGAACTGGAACGCACAACTTCTTTTTTTTTAGACCAGCCAGATACCTGTGCATGATTATGTTGGATTAAGTGAAAACTGTTTCTCCTTTTTTTACCATTCTGGTCATCTAGTGCAAGTGTTGCTTTTGCAAGTCAGGAAAAAGGGAACATTATAGAACCGAGCGAGGAAGAATGTTCGGCGTCAAGCCAAGATTTCCACGGTAAAGCTGGGCTTGTTTTATAGTTATTTTCCTTAACAATAAGTAATAGTTTTAAAGAATGGAAAAAAATAAGTTTAATGAAATACGATGTATTCAATGATGGCGAAGGGACCCTGGTGCCGTTGTGCGAGAAAATCAAGTCTGTATTGGTTTAGAGCTTTTTTCAAAAAAGTAAATTCACACATGACCCACAGAAGCCCAAGCGTCCAGTGCGTATCCCTGTTAGGTTCCCCAGGTCAATCAACTAAGAGTACTGTTACTCCAACCTGGATGGTTGGCTTGTACATCGTTTGTTTCTTATGCTAATAGATGTATGTAAGTTTCTTCTAATTTACGTAACGGTATTACGTGGCGTGCCAAAGTAGAATTAAACGTTGTCTTCCCTACTTAGATGTTACTCATGCTGAGAACTCGAGGATTCTCTTGAAACAATCCCAGCGAAATAATGGAAACAACAACGAAAGCCAAGATGAACGGGAAATGAAAACAAATCAGAACAGTGTGAATCTTCCGCCGGCGAGCCGAGAGCAGCCCAATTATTCTCAAGGTAAGGTAATGTTGAAAAACCTGAACGCACCGCTTGATTGTGGTATCAAGTGAGTGTAAAACCTTGCGCCACTTTTCAAAAAGGGATAGCGCTAAGGTGTAAATCAATTTGCACTTTGAGACTGAAAAGGAGAACCTGGTTTAATCTACTGTATATACACAGGATAAATCACTATCCAGAGGATGAGTTGTGGGGAAACTAATTAACACTTACGTAACTGTGTGATACTGTTCTCCACTTTGTGAACAAATGGCCCCAGGTGATAGGAAAAACCATGTCAAATACTTACAGAATGACGGTCGAACAGTGGAGAGAGCTGTTTTGGGGCCGGGTTTGGACCCGGTCAATTTGAGCCCTGAGTTTAAAACATTTTAACGTAACGTACCTTCTCTGCGGAAGCAAAAGTAGGATATTGTCCTTTTCCTTTAGGTTTTGCGAATGCAGGCCACTCCGGGATTCACGTGGGACATTCCCAGCAAAATAACGAAAACAGCAAGAAAAGCAAAGATGAGAGAGAAATAAACAGGAAGAAAAAAGTGGGGGAAAGTCCATCGTCGAGTCAAGAACGGCACAATGACGCGGAAGGGAAGTGCATGCCGATAAAACTTAACGCAGGTAATGAATAGAAAAACGTGGACAGTTCAATATAGTACTGTGTCAGATGCTTTAAGAGTGTCTTCCCGAACATGCAGGGAACTGTGATCAACGTTGTTAATTGAGGGTGGAGCCTCAAGTTTCTGACTTTCATGATCAATACCATGAGGCTTTTTGTTACGATAACGTAAGCTTCGTTTTTTCGTTTTTAAGCAACACTGAAGTATTGCCTTGTTCCTTTTAGCTGTTACGAATGCTGGCCAACCCTGCTTACAGGGAAAACAATCCCAAGGAAAAAATCAAAACGGCAAGGAAAGTAAAGATGAGAGTGCAATAAACAGAAAGAAACCTCCGGCGTCCAGTCAAGAACAGCACAATGATGCGGAAGGTAAGTGTATCGCGGCAAAACACACCTTGGCCCATGTCGACGTAGGAAAACTTGGACATTTAATTATAGTACTGTGTCAGATGCTTTAAGAGTGTATTCCGGTACGTGAAGAGAACCTTGATCAACGTTATTACTTCAGGAAAAAGCCTCACGTTTCTGATTACCGTCAAGAACATAACGCTTTATGTTAGGATGACGTTATTTCCGTTGTTTTCTTAGGGAAACTGAAGAATTGTCTTGTTCCTTTTAGATGTTGCGAATGCTGGCCAACCCGGGTTACAGGGAAAACAATCCCAGGGAAATAATGAAAGCAACGACGACAGTAAAGATACCCGGGAAATGAACACCGAGCAAAACAGGGTCAACTGTTCCGCTTCGAGTCAACAACAACACAGTAAGGGTAAGGGTATCCTGGAATAACTATGTGCATGACTTGATTCACCCAACTCGCAAGTGAAAAAAACTAGAGAGGTGAAAATACTATATCAGATGCTGTAAGAGACTCCTGAAAATGAGGAGTACTGTTGTCAGCGATGTAAATACAAGGTGAAAGACTAAATAGCCGAGGATCGTTCCTTTTCTAGGATACCGTTTCGTTCAGTTTTTTATCCATACTAAATCATTGTCCTTTCCCTTCAGATGTTACCAATGCTGGCCAATCCAGGATTCTTGAGGAACATTACCAGCGAAATAGTGAAAACAGCTACGACACCAGAGGTGAAAGTAGTATGAATGTTGGGAGGTTGTCGAGTCAGGACCCGTACAATGAAGGTAAGCGTTCAGTTGTAGCACACTAACTCACTTAAATGATTTATAGCAGAATTTTAGTTAATAAGCAGGACATGTTGGTAATTGGTGGTAAAGGAGAATTTTCCCTTGCAAGCTGAGCGACGCTTTTTCTAGTGACGATTTTTCTCTGAAAACAAGAACCACAGTAATTAATGGTACCACCTTAAATCGAATGGGAAAAATCTCACAAAAAAAATGATTGTCGTATGTGGGCTTTTCATTTATCCGCCTTTTGCGATGTTGTGGATATATGTTGAAAGTCTTCTGTATTTAATTTTCTTTTTGGACGAAACATTTGCCCCCAAAAAATCAATTTCCTCTATCCATTAGATGATATGACGGCTGTTCACTCATGGATTCAAGCGGAGCACTCCCAGAGACACGACTTAACTACAAGTGACATAGGCGAAGATGTTAGTGACATTTTTATTGTGAAGATGCCCTGGAAAATGGACAAGACGGATGCGAAGGTAGACAACGCCAACACTGACTCATGTGTAAGTGTCGCTTTTTTCTTACGCCTAAACACTATACGGAATTGTAAAGTGCTCAGATTCAATTCTATCCGCCCAAATAGGCCCCTCCCGATTCATTCCTCTCCCTTAGCCCTACTCAGCCCCCTCCCTTCGCCATCGCTAAAAAGTTAAATAGCTTCAAAACCGTTCAAGCCATGATCACCAAACTTTGGCCTTTTTTTGCAACCGAGAAATTGCCCTTTTCCTGTAAAAAAGGATTTAAGAGAAAAAATGAATATCGTATGATTGTTAGCTGACAACATCGGGTTTATTTTCATTTTCAGGCTGATTCATGTAAAGATCATTCAATTACGAGAAAAACAGACAGTCCATGCACAGAGAGAGAAGTATCAAGGTATGAAACGTGAGGCAGACTGAGCTGAAATGTCAGTGACGCTTTTCAACATCATCACAGTATCATCCCTACATAGTATAGCATTTTAGAGTATGGACACGAAGTACATGAGTACTAGTACGAGACTGTATTGCAATAAGAAAACCGGCTATAGACTACTACGTTTCGGTCCATGTCACGGTTTTGGGTGGAGTGGTTGAGTTCTGGGTCGAGCACCACAATAGTGAACAGACTACAACATCGCAGGTCTCTCAGTAGACTTACCCACGGGTCGCGTTGAGATTTCTTTTAAGCGCTTGAACGTGAAATTGTTCTAACCAATGGGACTGAGTAATTAGTGCACTATGCACTGATACGTTTTTAACTCGTTTGTTTACAGCGATTGTGAGTCAGAGGATGTCGATATCGAGACCTTACAGCCGACTGGAATTCCATACAAAGGAGATGCCTCTGTTCCCGTTTTCAGTTGGAGTAAAACGGCTTTCACCGGCCAGACGTTAGTTAAGCTACTCTTAACGCAGTATGAACCCGAATTTATGTGCGTTTCCCAGCCTGTAAATGTGGAAAATAATGTCTCTTTCCTGGTGGACTGCTCCAAATTACACAACCAGAAAACCTAAAGTGCGACGATATGGGCGTGTGGAAACACAAAGGGTCGCCGAAAAGATTTTTCTTTGTTGAGAGGAACAGACACAACGATATCATAAGTATTGTGCCTGTTACGGAAAAAGATCATGAGCAGGATGAAGGAGTATACATGCTAAGAAGATCGTATTCCGAGAACGCTTCTGACAGCAGTGTACGCAAGGTGGTCGCGACATTAACAGGTTAGGGCCATTTCTTTTTAATGGTGTATGGGGAGGGAGCCTCTGTTCTGAAAAAGGACCCTTCCACCTTCTCTAAATCAAATTTCTGTACCTGACAACAATGTGATCAATCCAAGTTCAAACAACCCGCACAGAGTATTATGTGCAAGTTTTGAACAGACCTTTAACTATTAAGACAAGACAATACAATATGACAGCGTAAAACTCTAAAGGGCTTAACAAAGTACACAACAGTTTTAAGGTGTGGTTTAACCCTTTGATACGATTCTCGATTTCTTCCGTTCGCCATGTCGATATTTATATAATTTACGATTATCCATGATAATTTCATGTGAAAACTTTAGATTTTCTTGGCAGAAGGCTACTTTAACTTATCGATTTTCATGGCCCAATACCATACCTGGATTCATTTCATTATGACTAGGTTGTGTTTTACCGACGTGATAGACACCCTTGTTCTGCTGATAATATAAACTTAGAATTTCTTTCCGAAAAAGCCACGCACTCTTGTGGTTATTGTTTGAGTCAATGATACACACTCTATATTGTCTCGGTAATAATGTACGTAATGCAGGATGTGCTCTTCAATTGACTTAACCGTTTATTGTCTTTTGCTCCTCTTTAGATAACAAGGGCAGGACGTTGCCAAATACACTAGTACAGTACTTGTTCAAGGGCGAAGAGCATGGAATACGTCTAATTAGACCATACGAAAACGCTAAGAAGAAAAAATCCTATAGGCGTGTGCTATCGAGCACTCGCGATAAACTAAAGGAATCAGCGTTTATCAAGGGCAAGACTGCCAGAGAATCTCTTGATGATGTATATCGTTCAGTCGGAGACGTGACCAAAGCCAGATCCGTGGGACAGCTTCCACGAGGACCAGCTGACTTGTACAATGCGCGTCATTCCGCCAAGAAATCAGCTCCCGAAACCTTTCAAGGTGAGAACGGTGTTACTACAAATGGTACGAAAGAACAAGTCAGCCTGAGTAATGTGTGGACACTCCTAGAGCGTACCAAACGAGAAGAAGAAGCGTCCAAAGATGCAGTCTTTATTCGCGAATGCTCCATTCACCCAGACCTGTTTCTTGTTTTGGCCAATGACCGACAATTGCAACAGATCAGCCAGTTCTGCACCAACCCAAACGAGTTCTGTGTCTTTGGCATTGATCCAACGTTTAATATCTTTGATAAGAATATCAGCCTTACAGTCACCACCTACCGTAATCTGAGATTGGAGAGCAAAAGCACTAATAAGCCACCAGTGTTCATAGGTCCACTTCTGATGCACCAACACAAAGACTGGAAGACATGCTCTAAGTTTGCACATACATTAATTGCCGAGAAACCACAGCTTGAGGGAATATTAGCATGCGGGACTGACGGCGAAAAAGCATTGATGGAGGGCTTCAAAAGAAACCTTCGCTTTGCAATGTTTCTGAGGTGTTTCCTCCACTTCAAGGACAATATTAAAAGAGAACCTACCAGCAGAGGCCTAGACGAGAAAGTTCGGAAGCAATTCGTAGAAGAGATATTCGGCAAGCAAGAGGGAAATGTTAAATTTTACGGACTCGTAGATTGCAATTCAGAAGACGAATTTGAGACCAAACCCGAAGTGTTAAAAGAGGTGTGGGAAGAAAGGGAAAAGACCTCTGGATCAAAGGGCAGCTCACAGTCGTCGTTCTACAACTGGTTTCGAAAAGAAAAGGTATGAAATGAAATTCTTTTGCACGTGACGTTCGGAATCTTCAGGAAATTTCCTTTTATTATCATTAAGAAGCTTTGTGATGGTATTTCATGTCTTGAAATCAAAATTTTGCATTTAATCAAGAGTACGGCCGTATTAGTTGACAAAAAATGGTCTAAAAGATTCAAACGTAATATGTCAAGTGAATTCTTCTACGGTTGACGCGAGTGCGCATGTTCTTTGTTAAAGTCCACTCCCGATAACTCCAACTTTCAGGAGAAATCGACAAAAAATTAGACTTATCCGAAATTTCGAGTTCTTGGAAGTTCGGTGAAAATAGCCGGGAGTAAGGAAACAAACAGTTTTTACTGCACAGTGAACATTTTAAACACAGTAAGTGGTAGGAATGTTAAGTGAAAATTGAAAGATACCTCTAGATTATAAATCTGTACCTAACGTAACAAAACACGGCCGAAATAGAGCATGCGGTGTACTATTTTGAGAAGAAAAGACGTTTTACGTCATATTTGTGACAAACAGCATCATCGTCCACTAGTAAACTATATGGCTACAAAACGTGAAAATGAAATTAAATAATGTTACCGACGCCTGGTCACTGTTTTTTTCCTCGATTTTCTTGAAAGGTTCAAATCGTGGTTCGCGTTATAGACGGTAAAAGATAGTATAGTATATACTACGTATAGTATATAGTAAAGTATGGTAAAGTACATGAGGCTATGACTCAGAGATTCCCATTTTGGTTTAAATTATAGATATATCTATGGACATACATGTTTTCTTCTGGGCTATAAAATGCTCCTCTCCTCATCGCTCACCTTATATACATCCACATACACACACCGATAATCAAACTCCTTAAACGTGCGTTTGTTTCGTCAGGCCGACGACATGAAGGATTCTATGCTGAAGTCAGTTAGGATTGATGCGGGATTGGGCAACCCTCCATCGGAGTACACCAACAATGACCCTGAGGCAGCGAACTTTATGATCAAGCATGGGCTGCACTTCGATGCCAAGAAACCGCACGAGTTTATCGAAGAGATAAAGAACATTATCGAAACGCAGCAACGTAACGAGGACCGCGCGGTCTTTGGAAAAGGTCCATTCCAAATTCGAGAAGGTTTTAAACATCTTGTCGTCGATGACGTAATGTGGGCACAGTTGACTCATGAGCAACGTATGAGAAAACTGTCCACATTTCTCAAGGCAGAAATAGACGACAGGAAAGACCCCATCCAGGACCCAATGGAAGCAGCGCCCATTGATACTCCTCCATCTCTCACCATCGATGCAAAAAACAGTGGTATAACCACCATACCCGCTGCTATTCTCGAAGCGATGTTCCAGAAGGCGGCAAATTTGAGAGCAACACCAGGAAAGATCATCCCGAAACCTGGGGCAACAGATGGATCTTTCATAGTTGCCGGGGTATGCAACAAAATACACGTTGTTACCCCAGGTAAAGGTGGTTCTTTGGTCTGCGACCTTGGTTGTGTAAACCACTCCACAAAAATGTGCGAGCATACCCTTGCAGTGGCGCAATTCACCGACAAGTTAGAGGGGTTTATCAACTGGTATAGGCGATCAAGAAGAGGTGCTAACATGCTAGACATGGCCGTTAGCGGAGGTCCAAAATGTGCAGGAAAAAAGCCAAGCAAACGGAAGAGGACAAACGCCAAATCTCAGCCTGTCCACGAAACCGCTGATTTACTTGAAGATCCGTCAACGCATTCTCCTAAACATGCTAAGGAGGACTTCCATGCACTTCACGATCAGCGCCCCTCGATGGCGTTCGCCAAACAATTACATGCAATGCATGTAAATCACCAAAGCAGTGGGTTAGCAACCCTGAATCAGGGCCATACCCCGCCAGGCTTCGACTCAAGTTCAGCCCAGTCTTCTGCTTCCCATAACCCGATCGGTTCGAACAACATTTTGCAACCAGCTGTTGGTCTGTCAAACGGTGGTTTTCTAGCAAGTCACGGTCAGTACCCCTCTTCATTTAATAATCAAAATATCGCATTATCAAGACACTTGGGGGGTCAAAACCCCAGCGTCATTTACTCAAGTCAACAGCAGCAGTGCTATGCAGGTCAAGTTCTTGGAATGCCGGGTCCAAACACCAGTTCTTTCCAGCTAAAGTGGGTAGCAGGTACTAAAGTTACACGATGTTATGGGTGCGGTGGCGACATTCAGAACCCTCCTTTGGGAGCACCAGAAGATATCGTTATAGTGTATAGGGACATTCGGCGATATCGTGATCGATACACTGGTCAGCTACACTGCACAGAAACGCCACAAAACGTCCATTTCCATCTTCGCATTGCCTGCGTGCGCGCGAGATATCCCCATTTTACGGGAAGTTGCCTGTCGGTTCCAATGGAATTTGCAGTACGTTTCGGGGTGGAACACGTTGGCAGGCTCATGTCGGAGTTTGGGTGGACCCCATAATTCCCCTTTTAGATTGCGAAGCATATTTCAAAGTCAAGCCTGGACAAGTAAACNTCTTTCTTCTCTCGTTTTGCGTTACGTTTTAATCAGTGTATGCAATTTATTAACTGCAAGATAGCAGTTAATAATAAATTAATGCGGTCATTGCGATACGGGTAAAAGACTTGCTAGTAGCTTGGGAAGAAGGGGTCCTAAGATGCTAGACATGGTCGTTAGTGGAGGTCCAAAATGTGCAGGAAAAAAACCAAGCAAACGGAAGAGGACAAACGCCAAATCTCAGCCTGTCCACGAAACCGCTGATTTACTTGAAGATCCGTCAACGCATTCTCCTAAACATGCTAAGGAGGACTTCCATGCGCTTCACGATCAGCGCCCCTCGATGGCGTTCGCCAATCAAATACATGCAATGCATGTAAATCACCAAAGCAGTGGGTTAGCAACCCTGAACCAGGGCCATACCCCACCAGGCTTCGACTCAAGTTCAGCCCAGTCTTCTGCTCCCCATAACCAGATCGGTTTGAACAACATTTTGCACTCAGCTAATGGTCTGTCAAACGGTGATTTTCTAGCAAGTCACGGTCAGTACCCCTCTTCATTTGATAATCAAAATATCGCATAAACAAGACACTTGGGGGGTCAAAACCCCAGCGTCATTTACTCAAGTCAACAGCAGCAGTCCTATGCAGGTCAAGGTGTTGGAATGCCGGGTCCAAACACCAGTTCTTTCCAGCTAAAGTGGGTAGCAGGTACTAAAGTTACACGATGTTATGGGTGCGGTGGCGACATTCAGAACCCTCCTTTGGGAGCACCAGAAGATATCGTTATAGTGTATAGGGACATTCGGCGATATCGTGATCGATACACTGGTCAGCTACACTGCACAGAAACGCCACAAAACGTCCATTTCCATCTTCGCATTGCCTGCGTGCGCGCGAGATATCCCCATTTTACGGGAAGTTGCCTGTCGGTTCCAATGGAATTTGCAGTACGTTTCGGGGTGGAACACGTTGGCAGGCTCATGTCGGAGTTTGGGTGGACCCCATAATTCCCCTTTTAGATTGCGAAGCATATTTCAAAGTCAAGCCTGGACAAGTAAACTTTTGCTGTCAATAACGCAGCAATGGAGCCATAAATACACAGTAACGGAAATTTTCTTTCATGACGCTTTTTGCATTTCTTTGTTCAGGGTCGGCCTCGAAGAAGTAGTGGCGGGGCAGGGAATCAAATCAGATCGAATTAAGATTATTTATCTGGAGAGAAGAAGGTTTCGATGAAAATTTGAAGTAAAAATTCAGCGAACTAATTTATTACTTCATTACGAAATTGCTTGGGGATAGACACGGCAAAGTTGAGTTGGTCTTGACAATCTAGTGTTTTTGCGGTGTTAAGACGTTTGATAACGGCTTCCGGCACTAACATTTTGCTGGATCAATAATAGCAAACTTTAAAACAAACTTTTAAAGTGCCTGCATGATCCTTCCGTTGTTTGTCTGTTCCGG